GGAGCTGCCCAACCTCAGTCAGGTCTGGCTGTGCAGTTTTTGGGCCTTCCCATTTTTCTGGACCTATCAGTCGTACTGTTTCCATTCAGGGACCCCTCTTCCCTGAGACATCATAGAGCGGGCAATCTGGACCAGCTCCAGATTTGCATATTATATATCCAGGTTCATGTATCATCGTCGTCTCTTACTTCTTTTTATTGGCTCACTATCTCTTCTTGGATCTTGCCTTTCCCTCTAAGTCAGATGCAAAGGATCAAGCTGTGAATCTGGGTTTAGGGAGAAACAGGTATAGGAAGTCTCTTGACCTTTTCTGGTCTCTTTATAACTGACCGTTAACTATAAAAAATGTCCTTCATGTGATTCAATATAATTCATAGGAGATTGCATCGGACATTGGGTCAAAAGCCTCATAGTAATAAAAAGGAGGACTTTACTGGGCCTTGAGCTCAGGAATTCAATTTGGGTGTGAAGGCAGAAAGAGGGGGGTATTGGCAATGTCACGACAAGGTTCAAGAATTTGGATTTGGGGTTCATTTTCCAGTGCCAATTGAATACCAACTAGACACGGATTATTATAGTACCCAACTGTTTTGTGTAGCAAGAGGTACTATTTCATAACATTATTATAAATTGTCAAAGAAATACATATTGTTCCAATGATTTATGTTTTAGAAATTGCTCGCTTTTTCTTTCTAATTGAACAATCTACTGATTGTTCAGTAGAACAATCTAAAAAATTTTTGAGAGGACCTATAATAATGGGGCACATAAAATGTGTGAAACTCATTTCTATCAATGTAAACAATATATCTTTATCAAATGTTATTTCAATGTATTATTGTGATTCCAAAGTTTACCTTGGTTGACAAATGGAATACTAGTCAACCCAGTATCTATTTAGAAGAAAGTATCTATTTAGAAGGAAGAAAAAGCCATTCATAGGTAAACATTTTTGATCAAGAAAAAGAAGGCAGTATGGAGAAACAATCTTTTCAATTTCTTGATTAAATGCTTTTGGATTAAAGAATGAAATAAAAAACACCAAGAAAGGCTCCCTGGTGGTGATTAGCAGGATGGTGGGGATTATGCATCTTTCAAACATTCACTAATTAAGTGGGTTTCAGCTTTCATTCAAACAATATAATGGAGGCAGATACATTTATTATAATAGAAGTACATTGAGGTTATAGAGGGAATATTACGATACAACCACTAGGGAGTTAGTGTCATGGATGCCATCTCTTGCTCTTCCCTTTCAATATGAATGTCAAACTTTAGTCAGTTATAAAGGATGGGTCTTTGACTGCTCTCATGTAATATATGAAATTCATTTCTATCCTAAAATACAGAATAAAGAGTTTAATAGCACATCTGTTCCATGAAATCTTGACTGGGATCCTCTTAACTCATATGAATTAATATGATTTGGTTTTCAGAAAGATGCTGGTAAGCACAGATCATTTTCAAGTGCATCGTTTAGTTATTGTCTACCCTCATAGTATATATTAGCTTTTTCCCTTTCCCCATTTCTTCTTATTAACTGCCATGTCTTAGTAATATTTTTTTTATTTGGCCAATTTATTCACATTACCAGTCAAATATAAAAGATAATGTGATTAAATCAAAGGTTCCAAACTGGTGGACACATAAGGCAGATTCCACCTATCAACATATTTGCTTTGATCTACCCAGTGTTAAAAAGATCTAGAAGTATTACATAAAATTTTAGATATCTTGGTTTCCTTTTCAACATTGGACCTGAATTTCATGTGACTAGAATCGGCTAGAGCAAAATATTAGAATGCCCCCTTTAGATGAACCCCAGCACTCTGTTACTCACACTCAGCCAATTTCACCTGTGAAATACCTACTTGTCCCCTGTAGATTTGTGAATACGTGACCTCTGGATTAGGCTGGTGAGGGTGGTAGTGGTGGCAGTGGTGTGCATATGTGTTTATGAAATAAGCATTCAACCAAGAGGGCTTAACAGTTAACAGTCTCAACCCATGTGATTTAAGAGATTATGATTTGTGTTAATTCATTTCTTCAACATTAATTGACGGCCTATCAAATAGTAAAATAACATTTCAGAGATAAATAAAATAGATTCCTAGTTATAAATATCACGAAAAGAGAATTTCCTATATCCATAAAGATACATACAAATCCCATGAGACCTTTATCCCTACTTTGTTTTCTTCCCTCTTGAGTTGTTTCTTCCCCAAATGTATCATAGAAAAGTCATAATCTATTTTTTTAAAGAAGATTTATTTTGGATTAAGTGATTTCATGATGCAACATGGTTTTAACCAAAAATAGAGATCAGTATGAAAATAAAACAAATTGTACACATTAAAATATCTTTCCCTTAAAGCATTTCAGAGTCATAAAAAAAAATACAACACAAAAGGCAGGGGTTCAGGTGAGGATAAGAATACAGACTTTGCAGAAAACAAACAACTAGTGTACTTTGCAGAGTTCCCGGCTTCATTTAATGCCACCCAGGAATCATTTCTAGGATGTCAACAATCTGCATTATTTGCTTTGAAATAAACAGATGAAATTTAAATATAAGGTGAAATGAGAGCTATATAATCTTCATGCCAATAGCAAATTCCTCCCATTATTATTCTCTATTAAAGGTCACATTGAATATGAAGCTTAAATCAACAAAAATGGAAACACAGCTATTAACTGTGATACATGCTATAGTAGACACAGTGGGTGGAATTGGTGAAAAGAAATGGAAAGGCTTAAAAAAATACACCACCTGTGTTCTACTGAAATCCTAGAAATAAATATTTTTTTACAGAGCCTTAATATTAAAAAGTAAGCATTATTATAAAATTAGATTAATACTTTCAGTAAGAGGCAAGAGAGATGCATGTATATTTATCTGTTTTGGAATGCCTGCATCCCTATTATAAAAACATGTCATTTTATGCACTTTCCAACATCGTAACAGCCTCAAATTTTATTAATGATATCATATAAAGGAACATAGGTTGTAGTAACATCTTTTAGAGCATTAGGGTCCTAAAAGAACATTCAGTTCTGTGTGTTTCTTGGTTAATCATTCCAAGTATTTCTTGAATGTTATCCATCCTTTTTTTACAGAAGGTGATAGTAATCAGTTTACTGATGGTTCCTTACTAGCATCAGTAATAGCTGATTCAGTTTGAATCATACAACATATCTATCAATACTCCTCAGGGTTGTAATATCTTAAAAGAAAATTGGATAGAAAGATATCACCCACCCAAGGCCACTAGACATAAAGATCACACCTATACATTTAATTTGCCGTGTTCCCCCAAAACCATAGCAACTAGGGCCTTCCAATTCTGCTGAACTGTTCGATCATGAAAGCCGAATAAATTACCTTGCATAGTAGGTCTAACCAAATGTGTTTTAACTTCCTGAAAAATTGGAAACACTAATTAGGTCACCATTTGTAATTCAGCAACCGAATTCTTCAGTTTTTGCTTTCTAGATTAACAGAGAACGTTTCAGTTACCATTAGAAACCATGAAAATGTCTCAAAAGCTATTCTAATGTTAAAGAATGTCTGCTAAAAGACAACTTAAGCATAATACCTGCCAATAACACACTTTCTTATATTTCATATACAAAGTTCAATAATAGTAACAATAATTCTTAGGTTAAAAAAATCCAGAACATAATTTAATACTAAACTGTCAAATCTCCTGATGAAGCCATGGGTATCTTTAATACTTTTGGGCAAAATTCTGTTTTACAATACAGAAAATGTTATCAACCTACTGATCTTATAAAATGAGGGTATTTCCCACCTGGTAGATTATCAAGCAGTACTCATTTGGCAACATGGCATTCTTTTTCTCAAAGTCAGAAACCAAAGCTACGTCAATCCGTTCCTAACCCACCAGCAAGCCCTAACATGATCCTTCCACCCTTGTTTTAACTTTCCCTCTGTTACAGTCCTGTCTTAACCATCCCTGCATTCCTTCTGGTCCAGATTGCTATGATATGGGTAGCCACACACACACTCATTATATCCTTGGTGTCAGGTCCTTGGAATGTAGTTACCACTCCTCAGCCTTGACAGTTGGTCAATAGTTAGCATTGCATTCGTATGGGGGGAGGGCACAAATGCTGGGCTCTTCTTTTTCCTTTTTGTTTTTATCATCCTTTATCACCCAGTGGGTGGTGGTTGGCCATAAACCACAATTTAGAAAGCTTTAATGTCGCTGGCATTTCTTTGCTTCCATGTTAAACAAACAAATCTATCTGGAAAACACGATCGAACATGAAAGGTAATCCATTTCACAAAATTAAAACCTAATTAAAAATGACATTCTCAGTAATCTAAACTCAAATTTTATAGACGTAAGGTGTCCAAGATCTATTGTTTTCATTCATCATCTAAATCAGAAAGCAGACAAGAAAGGATCTGAAACTCAGACTCAGTTTGGAGATTAGGCCATAGTCTTCATTTGCATGTTTTTACTGTATCTCTTAATGATGATATAGCATCATTTCACCAGCCTTAGGAATTTCCTGAATCAGGTTAAAATCGGAAAGATTTTTTAACTCTTCATTGTAAAATGTTTGCCTTAATTAGAAGTGGTCAAGTCATAAATTACCATTACTGTTAATCACTTGAGTGCTGTTTTACCACTTCCAGTTGTTATGCAGGTGAAACAAATTTCCCTTCATTTATTACAGAATTTCTACTAAGTTATAAACACAACATATGCTATAAAATTGTGACTGCATTTCTTTGGCCAAGATCCATTCACTTTGTACACAAGAAAATTCTTGGAACCCCAGAGTGGGCTGGGCTGAAGGACTGGGATTTTTCACACTGAAAGCTGAAGGTACATTGTAGTACAGATGCAGGAAAACTACAGGACTTCATTTTGGCATTTCTTTGAAAATTTGAAGATCCTTGAGTTGTTCCTTCATGCTTCAGCTCCCCACCTGCACACCTGAAACCCGAGTGTGTAAATGCACACTTGACCAGTCCCAGTATCAACACAGTACTACATGCCATTAGCTACTAATGAAGAGCATTTATGTGAATTTGTTTTCTTTTTTTGCCACAGTATCTCCCACGTGTGAAGCCTTCAATGGATCTCCCAGGTGGAAGAAGCAGTTCTCTTCTCAATCCTTGATTGTAAAACATACCGAATTTTATTAACAATACTTTTTTTTTTTTTTTGAACCTTGGTATCTACTCCACCGGACTGTCAGCTTCTCAAGGGCAGATTTTGAATCTTGGAGCTTCATGATCAAACGCAGTGGCTGGCACAGAATGACCAGTAGTGTGCTGCTTCTCTCATCTCAGAGACATTCTCTGCACACACATAGGATGTGTTGTGACTGTCTTTTATACTATAAGACAGTACAGTATAAGCATCACTTCAGAATTCTTTAAAGAAAACAGGACCATACAGCCAAGTTATCTAGATTCACAGTAGAGAAGAAAATATTTATGGGTATTTCTATTTGTAGAGTATATTAAAGTCTCAATTATTCTGTGGAGATGGTAATTAATATTTCATATAGTTATTGGACTTGTTTTACTAATGAAAAATAATATATCAGTTATCATAGTGTGCTGATACGCTAAGTAAATCTTTGCTAATTCCCAATTCTGAGAACAATAGCAATTAGACGATTATACTGTTATTTGGGAAAAAGTTGAATGCTTTAAAAAAGAAATATATTTGTTAGAAATAATTAAACAAACACATTTTAATTCAAGTTTCTTTTACCTAATAATGTGGAATATGGTAACAAAGCATCACAAACCAAAATGAGAGCTAACAGGGTTTATGAATGTATTTTTGAAAGATATGCAACCTTTTATATCAGCTGCTTAGAGAATGACAGCTCTGAGACATCTTATATACCATCAAAAATGTGGATTTTTTAAAAAGTATGTTATATTATTTTTCCGATAGTGAAAAAACTATAAAGAAGTAAAAATAGTTTGCAAAACTAAATATATATCTATATTCATGGTCAGTAAATACAAAGCAACATTTCTAATTAATTTTTTCCCTTCCCTTTCTTTTTGGTCCAATTTAGTACACAGGTAAATCTTCCTTTCTTATTTCCAGATTAATGTGACCTTTTTTTCCAGAACACTTCCCCAAACTGCAGTAGCTGCCTTTAGTGCAGGAATGCAACACGAGTGGGATTCTTCTTGAGAGGCTCAATAGTAAACACAGCTTCATCAACAGGGGAGCGATCAGTTCTTACAAACCAACATATGAAAACCATGCATAAAACCTCTGTAAAGTGTAAGATGGCCAACCTCCCAGAACTGGAATCCCATGGCTACTTATATCTCAAAGAACTGTCCAGGCAATGCCTGTACAAGCACAGGCTGGCAAACCAAATGTTAATCCAATGCTTTTATTATTCACAATTTAACTTCACTGTATTGAAAGTCTGATTAGTTATGGCCATAAGTCAGGAAATAAACAATGATGTGGAAAACCCCCAAAGCAATAAAATATGAAGGACACTCTGATAAAACTAAGCAGAAATAACATTAGTGATGTCATGCAGTTTCTGAGATACCATAGAAAAATTGTTTCTTAATATTGATAAGAAAATTATGCATCAGTGAAAATGCAGGCTTAAAAATATAGTATTGAGAGTTTCAATTTGTGATGTCTTCACTGATGAGGGAAAATGGAATTCTTATTACTAAAGAAAGCTGATCTCTTGGGTGTTGCTGATGGCTCCCTAACTGAGCTTAGTGTTTAATGATGCTGTACAAATAAAAAGCAGTGGGGGAAATACGAAATATCTTTATTAAATGCCATCCTGTAAAGTATTTGATGGATGGAAGAGAGTCTAATGCATTTTAAATAAATGCATATCATACTATCACATATAGTGAGTCTTAAAAAATTATTACTTAGATGCACAGTCCTTGTAGTGGTAGACATGGCACTGTGAAGGAAGTTGGATTTAGACGCTATTTTCTATTATACTTGTCAAGTGATGGAGTTGCTGTTAGTCATATTGTAATGTCCCTTCAACTTTGGTACATTCAGTGCAAAATACTTGGGGGGATTTTTTTGTGTACCTTTATAAAAATAAAAGGCCCTTTTGTTCCCTTGAGAGTGCTTAAAAGGATACATACTAGCATGATGCCCAAGTAAGCATGGAACATGAAAATGGAACAGGTGACACATACAGTAGGGCAGGTAGGTAGGTTCTTATATACATCTTAAAGAACATAAATATAACGAACCTATAAAAAATAAACAGAACTCACTGTGTATTTTTTTCCTGATATTCTGTGATTAATTGCTAGTTATTTAAAATTGTTTTCATGCATTATAAAGCATAAAATCGGTCATTAGTAATTCAGTGTATAATAGTTTGTCTTCAGCCATAATTACACACATATCACTTTGTATACACATTGTCATCGACCACCTTATTGCAAATCTTTAAAGTTACCTCATAGTGACTTGGTCTCATTTTCACTCGTGTTCCATGAAAGCTGAAACCTATGGTGCACACCATGCAGGCACGCATAAGCAAGAAAATGAGTATTCTGTTATAGCTTAGGGCTTAAATGAATGTACTTTCAGGAAATATACTTGTTTTTATTACATTATTTAACTTGCACTAATTTGGAGACTGGGTCAAGTGCTGCCAGTTTGGCTTCAACCATGTTCAAAGGTAAGTTTCCAGATTCTCCTAAGTCCCTGAAAGTTACCATGGAGCTGACCGTGTACAGGTTCATCTTTGTCTTGGAACATAACAAATGGAAAAAAGTTTGGCAGTCAAGAACTGTTGATTGAAAGACTGTTGGGTTATTCCCTGGGCATCAAGCTCACCCAAATCCTTCACAGAGGACTCATCAGCACTATCCATTCCCCAATAGTGACAGAGCACGTGTTCCTGGAAGATAACAGCACTCAGGTTTACTCTAATGGAAGCGTACTCTTGAAACTTCCAGTGTTCAGCCATTCTTCTGGAGGGCAGCTTCTGAAATTGTCTGTTTATAGGGAGCCAGGCATTGTGCCTCCAAGTCACTCAAGTCCAAAGGTACTGGTCTCTTCAACTGCTGTCAAGAGTTTTTCATAAAGCATGGAGAAGGATGGGTACGGGGGAAGATCCAGACGGTTAAAGCAAGTGTGAGCTCTGCAAACAGAAGAAGCGCACATACATAGTTTAGACTGCTTAGAGTGAAATAACATTGTTTTGTGTGTATGTGTGTTTGTGTGTGTGCGCGCATGCTTCTCTTTTATATTCAGGTTGGTTTGTTGTCCATTTTCAAACTCCTTTTGGAAAAAGCTTTGAAAACATTTTGACTTAAAAAATCCTTAGGGTATTAATTTCTCTTAGGGCATAAAAAATATGTTTCCTTTATATTTTCACAATCATTTAAAATCTGTGTTATGTACATATTACTATTTGTTTAGCTGTCTAAAAACTACAAACACAAGTTTGTCTTTTTGTTTTTCTTGATGCTCCTTTTTTTTAAAGGCATGAGTATAAGTTCTTGCAAAGTAATTCATTTTCAGGGTTGGCATTTGCCTGGATGTCTCTTAGAAAGTCTACGGTTTTGTAGTTTTTCATTTTGTTGGGCAGGGAAGAGCACGAAGTGTCTTTGAAACCTGCCTCGTGGAGTAGTGTCTTGGGAAATTCCATGGCTGGACTTTCCTGTTGAAGTCTGTGGACCATTGTTACTTCTTTGACTCCTGTGCTATAATCTGTTTTCTCGTAAATCACAATGCAAAATAATGGCCATTTAAATCATTACATTAAGTATTTTTTTTCAGAAATACCTCCCTGCATGCCAAGATAGGAAAAAAATATGCTTTCCTGTTATTTGCACCTGAATCACAATAAAAAAATAGATAGTCTTCAAATAGTGCATCTTATCAGGAAGCAAATCTGCACTTTTGACAAGGAAGAGGAAGCATTTTATTCTGAACGCACAACAGCTTGTTTGTGGGAGCTCAACAACTTTGACTTAAAATATACTCCTGAACTGATATGGAATTTTAGGAGCTGTGATTACTAATGAGCTATTTTTACAAAGTCACATGTTTGAATGTTTTTATAAATCACTTTAATACTTACGAAATAAATATATTACTCAATGTAGTGTAGTATAGTGAGACCATCAGAGGTTTGGGGTTGGACAGACGGATTTGAATTCTAGCTCTACCAGCCAGCTGTCTGATTTGGAGTGAGTTATTAAGTCTCTCTGAGACTCAATTTTCTCACCAGTGAAAAGAGAATAGTATCATTCATCTCAGAAGGCTATGAAGATTAAATGAAGTGACAGAAACATGCTTACTACAATGCCTGGCTTACAGTGTTTGACCAATTAATAATTGTTAGCTACATTTCACTACCATCAAAAAGATTTACTCTAATTGCCTTCATTAAATTGATAAAAGATAATCATGACTCATGGAAACTCCAAGATAACAAAGAGATAATAAAGCAGATGTGTGGCCACGTGTCTTATTAAGAACAGGAAAGCAAAGGGGCTGTTATATATAAGAATATCAGTTTTAGGACATATAGTATGGGCTCAGGGTTTACCACTTGTTAATACAAACTCTAGGACACACTGAGGGGAAATCATCTAATTAATCTTTGCAGCCAAACACTTTTTTTTAATATGATAAGCTATTTCAGAATTGTATTTAATATAATTTTTATTATACCTTCTTTACACTGGAACCTCAACCTGGGCCTCAAGGGAAAGGTTTAACTTTTTAAAAAATTGAACTAGCATACTAAAAAAAAAGTCCTAGGAATGGTTTAAAGTCTATCTTGTGTGAAACACTGGAATAAAAATATTAAATGCAGACATTACCTCTGTTCTAGAAGGAGGGAAGAAGCAGACAAGTGAACGTTTTGCATATAATTATATTCCATACTTGGTGCTATGTGTTTAGATGCATAACATTCATTATCCTATTAGACTAAAAGATGGTACTTCTTTTAAATAAAATTAAAAAAATTTTTTTTCCTTTGGTTACCAATAAGACAGCATCTTTCCCCAAGTCAAGTGGTTTGTAACTTTCCCTGTTTTATGATCTACATGTTCATCTTCTTTTAATTTTCTTAAATTGTGATTAAATATATATTACATAAAATTTATATTAACCATTTTTAAGTGCACAGGATAGTCACATTGTTCTGCAGCCATCACCACCAATCATCTCTAGAACTTTTCATTTTCCCAAACTGAAATTTTGTACCCATTGAGCACTAACTCCCATCCTCCCCTGCCCCAGCAATCACCATTCCATTTTCCGGCTCTATGAACTTGACTACTCTATGTACCTCATGTATATGGAATCATACAATATTTCTTCTTTTGACTCTCTTATTTCACTTAGCATAATGTTGTCCAGGTCCATGGTGTATCATGGGTCAGAATTTCCTTTTTAAGGCTGAATAATATTCCATTGTATGTATATACCACATTTTGTTATTCATCCATTGATGGACATTTGGGTTGCTTCCATCTTTTGGCTATCATAAAAAATGCTATTATGGACACTAGTGTACAAATATCTGTTTGAGTCCCTGCTTTCCATTCTTTTGTGTGTATACCCAGAAGTAGAAATGCTCGATCGTATGATAATTCTATTTTTAATTTTTCAAGGAGCTGCCATACTGTTTTCCATAGCGGCTGCACCATTTTACATTCCCACCAGCAATGCACAAGGGTTCCAATTTTTCTACATCTTCACCAACACTTATTTTTTTGTTTTTTTTTTTATAATAGCCATCCTAATGAGTGTGGCGTCCATTTATCATTTAAAGCTTTAGGATTTCTTATTGATTTATATGAATATTACAAAAATAAAGAGATTGACTCTTGCATTATTTCCTGCTAATCTCTTCTAGCCTGTTCACTTTTTAAAATTTAGTTATGCATTTCATTTATAGAGCAATATTAATCTGGTTGTTATCCATTTCTGATACATTATCTTTCTCTCTTCAATGTGTTGCTGTAAGAAACATGCTGAAAGGTGATCTCTCTTGTTTATGCCTAATAAAAGGTTTTCGTTGTCTATTTTTTTTCTTTTTGATAGTGCTGGTGGAACAAAAAGTGTGATAGGTCAACTTTCGGGAGAACTCTTCCTCAATGAGTAACTAATTTATATAGTTATAATCTTGAGTAGATATGTGTGAATTCATTTTTGTGAACTGAATCATATTGGGTGAACTAGGAAATACAAGTAATTCAAGATAATCCTTTCTCTAGGTAAGCAATAATTCCCCATTAATGTTTTATTTTCTTAGGACAGGGCACAACTGTAGGCGAATGTATCTATCACACTCTAGTTAAGCCTGTTTCTTCCCTCATGACAACCAAATACTTTCCCTTAACTTAAGGTTAATTGTAGCTAATTAAGAATTAACAGAATTATCCCACACATGGGAATGAGAATTCATAAATAGTAATGTTTTAAGTCTCCAATTAACATCTTGCACATACTTAGATTGAATGCTGAATATTAATTCTTTGTGGTTTTGTGGTAGGCAGAGTTCTAAGATGATGTGCCATGACTCACGCCTTTGTATAATCCCCATCTCTTGAGTGTGAGCAAGATCTGTAACTCAGTTGTAACGAAAGGAATATGGCAAAGGTGAAGATATGTTGCAGATGTTATTAAAATCCATAATCGGTTAATTTTAAGTCAATCAAAAGGGTGATTACCCTGAGTGGGCCTGACTTCATTAGGTGAGATCTTTTTAAAAGAGGTCAGAGACCCCCACTGTTCCTGGATTTGAAGAAGTAAGCTGCTATTAATTCTACAGCTACAAGGAATGGATTCTGCCAACAACCTAAGGGAGCTTGGAAGCAGGTCCTTCAGTAGGTGAACCTCCAGGTGAGAATGCAGTCTGGCTGACACCTTGATTTCAGCCTTGTGAGATGTTAAGCAGAAGACCCAGCTAAGCCATGCCTGCACTGCAGATCCACAGAAACAGTGATAGAAAAATTATGTGTCATTTTAAACTGCTAAGTTTGTGGTAATTTATTATGCAGCAATAGAAAACTACAAGGTCTCCAAGAAGTTAAACAGTCCAAGAGAAGGCGGCAAATGTGATAAATGAGATACAACAGAATCACCCCTATCAGGGGTAGGTTGTGAGGCAAAGCTGGGTATAAACAGCTGCCCTTTCTTTCTCCCAGGCTTCTGAGCACAGAAATAAGAATTCTGCATGTCTATTTGCAGTTCTATAGCATCTTTGCAGACACTATAGTATCTTATCCAGTAAATCCATAAGCCTGGGCACTCTTTCCTCTAAAGATTCAGTTCTCAACACAAAAGGAAGGACAGGACAACCTTTTCTGATACTCCTCAGTCATGACATAATCACCATTACTGATACATAATCTCAGGCTATCACTGCTTCCTAATTTACATCTGGTTGCATAACATACAGTTACCTAACAGAACTTTGCTTCTGAATAAACTGAACAACAACTCTGAAAAAAAAAAAAAAGCTTCACAAGGATGAAGAAAGTATGTATTGTGGAGGGGGAAACTGTGCAGAAAGATTAAATGGTTTTTCCAAGGTCAAAGCTGAGTCAGTGGCCAAATCAAGAATAGGATCTCAACCTTGGGTTCCTAGGGGAAGTCCAACAGTAAATCCTAAACAGGGAGACCAATGCTCATCGGCCCTGTTCTTTCACTTTTAGAAGGCTGAATGTTAATTTCATCTCACCCCTGACTGTGAACTCCTAGTCCTCAACGTTCTACTAGATTATATACATTTTGAGGACAGGGATTAGCAAAATAAAGCTTCAAATATTTTTTAAATGAATAACAATCATAATATGCAGTAGCTTTGGGGAAAATGGTCCTCAGTGGGTCAGTCTGGAAAATTCTGGGAGATGCCAGGGGATTTTTAGGTGCTTAGTTCTAGCTCAGGCTCCCCAGAATGCAAAGATACTCCGAGAGACACTTAGAGTACATCAGAGTCACCCAAGAAGCTGGTTTGCAATGGGGAGTTTTGGCTGCACCCCCTGAGATTCTAATTCAGGAAGTTTGGGGTGGGCCTAAAAATCTGCATTTTAACAATTGCTCCAAGTGAGTCTGATGCAGGTGGTCTCCATTACTGGAGTGAGTGACATCAAATGGATGAGAAATAAGATATCT